GCCACCTGCACCAGGGTGGCCCCGAGCCCTGGCACCATGCCCACCACCACCACCACCACCACCCCCCCTACATCGGGACACAGAGCACTGCCTACCCCCGCCCTGCCACCATGCACGAGGTCTATGGGCCTCACTTTGATCCCCGCTACAGCTCCCTCCTGGTGCCCACTGCCTCCGTCCGCCCCCATCGCCTCACCCCCGCCTCTGTGCCCACGCCAGTCAGCCCCCCCTGTGAACTGGGCAAGAGCGAGGCGGGCACCGCTGCAGCCTGGACAACGCCGGGACCCTTCCCCAATGCAGCAGGGGACATGGCACAGAGCCTCAGCCTAAACGTGGATGCAGGTAAAGAGCTGCCCTCAGTCCCTCTGGATACCCCAACTCAGCTGCACCCCTGCTCCTTGCCTCCCTCACATCGCCCATAGTAGTGGGGATGGACCTCCCATGGTGGGGTGGCTGGGGTGCTGCTATGGGGGAATAAATGGGTGGTGGAAGCACCGTGGGAGACGCCTGAGCTCTGCCCTGGGTGCCCTTCCTGGGGCTCTTGGCCAGACGTGTGAGGAACGGGAGGGACAGGGATAGGACAGGACAGGACAACACGTCACCCCCTTACAACACCCTTTGAATTTCTGGCACCCTCAAATGTGCCCTGAGGGTACTGGTTGCTGTGAAGTGCTCCTGTCCTGGCCTTGGCCATGGTCTTGCCTTGAGCAGCGAGAGGTGGGAGGAGGACAGGATGGAGCCACCCCCAAGGTCACTGTTTGGGTCCCTCCACAGGCTGCCCAGAGGGCAGGAGTGTGGGCAGCCACAGCAGAGCAGGTCCTTTTTAGACCTCATGCAGGTTTGCAAACCACCTCTTCTCCTTATTTATCTTTTCCTCTCAGTTTTTGAGGGGAAAGCACAATTGCATTTTCTGAGCAAAAAAGGCAATAGTTTTCCCCTGGTACCCTGTGCCTGGTAGGTGCCTGGAAGTAAGGTTGTGTGGCCACAGTGGTGACAAAAAAGTGATGCAGGCTTAGCTAGCAGTGGCAGCTTCTGAGCTCATGCTTGTGGAGGCAAGGAAAGCCCACTCTGGCAGCAGCTCTCAGTGCTGGAATTGGGTTATTGCAGCCACAAATGGCTCTCTACAGAGGTCTCAGTTTAGGCAGGAGGAACATGTGCCCTTCTCCAGCCTAGCTTGGGCTCTTCTCCTTGCTCCATGGCCTCCCACCAGCTCTGGGGAGCCCGTGCTTGAGATTGATTCTTTGATCTCAGCTGGTAGAAGCGCAGTGTGTCTTTCTCTGTCCTTAAATATCTGTACCTTTTTTTCTTCCTCCCTTTTTTTCTTCTCTCCGTTCTCAGGTTTGCAGCCTCAGGACAAAAGCAAGGATCTGTACTGGTTTTAGAGCTGTCCTTCACTCTCCTTCCCCTGGCTCTCCCCTGTAGATCTCTGCCTGTTAGACATGGTGGCATTCAGAGCTGAAATCGGGTCAGTTTGTAACAGCTTCTGGTCTTGGTTTGCAGCTCGCCGTTACTCCTTCTGTGGTGGATCCCTTCTGAGCTGATGTGCTGACTCAAAGACTCCCAGATCCCCCTTTGCCCTTTTCCAAGCCCACCATGGCCCTGCAGCTTGGGGAAAGACAACAGGACTTAAAAGGACCTGGCATTGCAAGGAGGGTACTTTAGACTTATTTCAGAGAGGAAAATCCTTCTGTTGCAAGAGGAGAGCCAAAGACATTGAACTTCTATTTAAGCAGAACTCACACCCAGGACTGCAGTCAGACCATGCAAAAAGCATCCAGTGACATTGTTGATGGTGATGCAGAACCACCGGCCTTTGTACAAGGGGCAGAGGAAATCATGGGGATTTTTTTTTAGTGGTGTGAATATTTTTTTTATGGCAGTGAAAATTATTTCTCAAATGCAAACATGGGAAAGCTACTTAGCAGTTTTGAACTGGATTTTTACTTTACATTATAGAAAAGTAAAAGGAGAAGAAACTGGAACTCATGAACATTTTGGGACTATCACGGAACTGCTCAGATTTTTCAGCTTTGTGTTGTGAGTGGCAAGTGTCTGGCCGGGACCACCTGCCCTGGACTTACAGAGATGCAGCTGTTCCATGCACAACTGCTCAGATCTCAGAAAGACGAAAAGCAAGGTGGCACTGCTCAGAATTTGGCACAGCATTTGCATCGGATACATAACGGTTGTTCAGTTGTGCTGGATTTAGGTTTTGTTTTTTTTTTCTTTACAAGAAACATTTTCTGGTGAAAGTAAAACCCTCTTTAAGCAGGGGGAGAAAGGAAACTCATGAGGAACGGCTTGCCCTCAACCCGACAGCCTTAGAGGGGAACACCAGAAGGAAAGGCACATGACGGACAATAGGTCTGAGTTGCCTTACCATTTTTCTTTGCCTACTTGTTGCTGTCATTTTGTCACTTTAATAGTTGTTTTGTTTCGGGGGGGGGGGTTTGTTGTTGTTGTTTTTTTAAAGAAGGAATAAGATATCTATTTAATCGCAGGAAAGCTGCATTAAAGGTATCTCCTTCTTTCACCCTGTGTGCTTTTATGAAGAATTAAAGCTAAATAAGAGAAATGAGGCAAGCTGGCATCTTCAGGATGAAATAGGAAAAATACTTGTTGTGTGGATTAAGTGAATTATTTTATTACCTTGCATTAAAGATAAATAGAAATCCTAGCAGTTGAAAATATTTTCTTACTGAGTAAAAAATATAGTGAGAAATACAAAAGGTAAGAAAATGCAAGGTTGTTGCAGTGTTACATTTTAGTGTATGGTGTATCTGTAAGACAGGTTGAAGTAAAGGTGCTGCTTCATATCATAAAGCTGATAGAAGAAGGGACTGTAGCATTCAGCACTGCTGTTGCACTGGTAAATTAAAAAGCTGTTATAGGGTGAGGAGCAATTAATGAAACAGTGCAGAAATTGAAATTTCCTCCTATATTTAAAAGCTGACTTTTTTACAGGCAAAGTATCTGATCCCAACACTACTGTGTTTTGTTTCATTCTGTTTCTTTCTTAATGTCATGCCTTTGAAGGCTGACAAAGTTCAATGCGTGTAAGAGGAGAGTCCTAACATTACCCCTTTGACACCAGGAGAAGCAGTAGAAAATGGACTTTTGTGCTGTGGTGAGAGTTTTTACCTCCCAACACTCTCACATACCTCAGCATAATTTTCACCATGCATCAGAAATGGAGTTATGAATAACCAAAACTCTCTTCTTATAATTTTTCAGCTCAGTAATAACTCAATTTCTGGGAAAGAATAGGAATTCTAATAGTAAGACTACAATAATGCATTGTGAGTAAATACTGTGAGAAGCTGGCAAGGAGCAATGTGTGCAGAGCATCCCCGGCCAGAGCTCAGCAAATGGCAGGAGGTGACTTGCCCTGATTCCTCCAGACAGACGTACCAGTGAGCATTTCACCCTCAGCCTCCAAATAGCCAGAGCCCAGACAAGCTGTAAAGAGCAAAGGAAGGACTCCAGAATTTATATTAGTGGCTAAACCAAAAATGATCTTCGGTGTCTATCAAGAAAGAAGGCAGCAGCACTGTTCAGGAGAAAAATAACTGAAAATGGCATTTAACTTTATTGCTGCAGAGGCTTGGAGATAACAGGAGCATTCTGCGAGCATTTGCCTGCAGGTTTTTTTTAGGCTGTTTTTAAAGTTGTTTCTGTTTTAAAAAAAGGATTAATTTGGCTTTGGCACCAGTTGTGCTTCACTGCAATTGTTGCTGTTTTCTTCCTCTGCTCGGCCCCCCCCCCCCCCCCCCCCCCCCCGTCTGCAACTCATAACAAGGAGGGCTGGGCAGTACAGTCCAAATACATTTGGGAATACTGATATAAACACAAACCAGTCATTTACTTCATTGGCATTTACAATTCATTTTGACTGTGAATGTTTTCAAGCATGAGAATTTATGCAATCAATACATAAATACTGGTTTTGACATTTGTTCTCCAGGTACTCTTTTTTTATTGTTATACAACAATGTCAAAGCATCCATACACCAAAGCCAAGATTGTGGCTCAAGGTGTTCGATGCTATGCAAACAACTTTTAAAAAACGCTCCTACTCCAGATGGACTGCAGTCTGAAAGCTCACATGCCTTATTTTTATGAATTCTTGCAGAGTTTTGTTCACACTGTTACTCTGATTCCAGGGGGACTGCTCACAGCACCGACCTTTAAGGCTTGGCAGGGGGCCTTTGCAGAGCTGGAGCCACAGGTCCCAGTGAAGTAACAGTGCAATCCATGTCCTTTCACAAGTTGTTTTATTCCTCTTTGCATTGTATAGTAATTGTCCAGTCATGAATGCTCATAGGAAATCTGGAAATACAAAAGGAAGGCTTCTTGTATGTTACGTACATGTCAACTTGTCACATGCTTGTCACATACCAAAAGAGCAGGGCTGCAAGTCCCCAGTCCCACAGCCTGCAGAGCAGATCCTCCCATTGCCCCTTTAGTGAGCATAGCACAGAGGTTAGCATGGGCTTGTGCTCTCCAGCTGCCCACTGGACAGACAGACCAGCCCTGCTGGGACAGATGAACACAGCTCCTGACTCTTTTGTGCTGAGTCGAGGGAAGGAGGCAGAGGGATGGGATCTGTGCGGAGTGGAGAAGAGCAGTGCTGACCGTAGCAAGAGTATTGGCTGCTGCTGAGTGAGAGCAGTTTGCAAGAGTTTGCAGGTGAGCTCAGAGGACAGTCACTGCAGGCTTTTATTTCCTGTCTGAAAGTAACTGAAAATTAGGAAAGCACCCTTTTAATGAACTCCAAGGTTAGCAGTGATGTGTGAAGGAAAGGATGGAGGTGAGGATGGCACACAGTATTTGTGGTTGGAGTCTCCGCTTTGTTTTAATGAGGGTTTCACTTCAGTACAGCAGCAGTTGCAAGAACGCAGCACAGAGCTCTTTAGAGACATGCGTGTGTCCCTCCACTCAGTCTTGTTAGCGAGCTTTAGGGTGACGTTCCTTACTTTCCAACTTATTTTCCAGTGGGTTTTCCATAGGAGCCCCCAGCAAAGGAGGAGGAGGGGAGGCAAGAGAAGGTGAAAGAGTCTGAGTGATCCCTGTGCCTCCCCTGGACTGCATGCTGCTGTGTCTGGCGAAATGTATCTGCCTTGTCTCCTCCTTGGGTCACGATGGACTGCTCTCCTTTCTCGCCTTCCCTTTGAAGTCCTATTTAGGTTTATGACAAGCTCTAGTGAGGGCTTAAAGGTTGGTCCCTTCCTAGAAGGGATGAAAATGGTGCTGGTGGCTTTTCGATGCACCAGGGTTCTCTGACTGGCTGCTCCTGTGCATCTTTTTCTGGGCAAGGGTTGTAATTAACATGCCCTTTTGATTACAGAAGGGCGAGCCTGTTCCTCTGGGGGATTGTGGTGTCCTGGCTGGCCTCCCTGGCCTGCCACCCAGGGGAGCAGTTGCAGCAGGGGAAGGGGAGAGGCTTGCAGTGTGATTATTCAGAGGAGTGAGGTATTGATTTTGTAGGCTAGGCAATTTTGCATATGGAAATAGGAATAAGGGATAGGGAAAAGGAAAAGGAAAAGGAAAAGGAAAAGGAAAAGGCTTTACTTCAGTCAGCCTCCAAGCTTTGGGTCTACAGTTTGGGAACCACACTGTTAATTTAGTTCCCAGCACAGTTAGACTGTTCTCTAAAGGAATTCCTGACAAGCAGCTCAGGCTAACAGGGTCCCTCTGTTTATGTCCACCTCTGATCACACAAGAGGAGTTACCTTTGCAGTGCCCCTTTACTGCCTCCACAGCCAGGCATAATCCAGGAATCCTGTGCATCAAACCTGTGAGCGTGAATTGTAACGGAGAGGTGCTGGGGTGCTGTGTCTCCCCTCCTCCTTCCCCCTTCTCTCAACGCCAGGTACTGCCGCAGAAGGGGAAGGCACTGGAAGATCCTGTGCAGGGATGCATGCCCCTGGGCCCCGCTCACGTGCACTGGCACTTCCCTTTGCCGTGCTTGACTGCACACAAAAACACAGGCTGACCAAGGACTGGAGTATTTCTTTAGGGATGTGTCAGTTGCATATTTACATTTCTGGTAAAGATAGGATAATACACCAGAAGCTGTAATACCATGCTGGACATTACTGAGGGTGTCCCATCTCCTCTCTGCATGGCATATTTTCTCCTGCCTCTCCTGGTCCAGTGCTGCAAGGCGCTCTCCTCATTCATCACAGCCTCCTGACTTCTTCACTTCTGTCCTCAACTTCTGGCCCCAGCCCTGACTTTGCATCTCATCCCCTCTCTGTTTTCCTGCCTCACTCAGTCTCTTCCCTCCCTGCACCTCCCTGACCCCACACTGTGGCAATGAGAAGCAAAGGAATGCACTAGGAGAGACACAAACTTTCCCATCTATGCTGTTTGCATGGATTTGAAGCATGAGTATGATGGTGCTTGATGATGCACGATAAACAGAATTGGACCATCTCCTGAAGAGCCAGCACATGGCCTCTGTCCTGCACCATACCCCTGTGGTAGGAACCAAGCTCAAATCCCTGATCCAGTGGAACAACTATTTTTTTTTCCACAA